CAATATGGACCCCTCCCTGCTACCAGCAGTTCAGGTTATGGCTTATGAGGTAAAAGTGCCTTGGGGAAAATAAATATTGTTCAGTTGCTGTGGAACTTGTTATTTCTCAACTTAACAAATGATTCTTTGCCTAGTAACAAAGGGGTTTGGAGGTACCTTAAAAATATAAATGGTTCTGCAATAAAGAGATTGGTGGAACGAAAACTTGACACCAACTTCTGCCATGAACACAGGCAAACAGGATGTCAGCTCTAGTTTCTCAAAGCCAAGGCAGCTGAATTGCAACGCCCCCAGGGAGGTCACTTACCGATGTGGGTTGTGAAAGTGACCAAAGGCAGACCTGCTTCTGGGAATTGGAATTGTCTGGAAGGGAGACCTCCTTTCCAGACACAACAACAAAGCTCACATCTAACATCCAGATTCCAAACTCAGGAAAGGACTCTGGCTCCTCCACTCCAAACTTGACCTTTGAACCTCATCCAGGATGTGCATTAGAAGGAGAGCTAGCCCAAGAGATCAGTATGAAGTGGGGTTGGGTGGGGTTGGCTGTCAATTGTTGTTGGTGACCCACCGCTTTGCTCGGCTCCTCATGGCGTCATTCTTAGTGTTCTCCAGCTTCCCAAAGCACCAATCTAAGGGTAATTCTTCACCTACCGGTGGAGCCATATCCAGCAGAACAGCGTAACTACATCTCATATTTCTCCTCCCACCGGGATGATTTTCAACATACAAGTGAAATGAACTCTGCAAAGAGCTATAAGGGGAAATGGGTTGGGGTTCAAAGGCACAGGTTCTCATCTTACCCCTTCTGGTGCCCACCAGCAGCAGAGAGAGCAGGAAATACGTCACCTGTGTGTGATACATTTTCTACAGTCCTAGATATGAGACTAAATCCTATGAACAGCACTAAATCCTCCCGGGATCACTCAGATATGATTGTAATGGAGAGGAAGGAAATATGATGATCCAAGAAACCATGACTTCAGTACCAAGTGGACATGGGCTCTGTTTAAAGAAAGCTGGTCACTTTCCCAAAACCTTTTAGGATCTGTGAAAGCCTTTCTATCCCATAGGTAGGAATCCCAACATAACCCCAAATAAAAACATGAGAGTATGTTCTCAATCTACAGTAAATATTTTATCTGCAAATATATCCTATGTTTATAGCTAATTCATATGTAGTTCCCATTCAGTTTATTTAGGAAATGGGGTGGGGAAAATAACCTGTAATCATGTTTAAATGGAATGGAGGTGTTTGTTTGTTTGTTTGTTTGTTTGTGATAGTCATCTCAAGGATGTTGCTCTGGCTGTTCTGGAACTCACTATGTAGACCAGACTGGCCTCAAAACTCAGAGATCCATCTGGTTCTGCCTCCTGAGTGCTGAGATTAAAGGCATGTGCCGTTTCTCCCAGCATTTGTCAGTTTTGGTATTTTAACAGATTATCTTTTATTAATTCTTCAACAGCTTCATACTTGTAAAAATTGCATCTTGGTCACATCCATCCACCAGAACAATCGTCTCCCACTCCCCCAATGTGCCCTCAGCTCCCCCTTTGTCCTTTCCCTTTTATTGTAATGTAATAAAGTTTTATAGGTATTCTTCTCACTTTTAAAAATTTCGTTTTTAGTATAGCAGACAAGGTAGTGGGTATCACTATGGAAATTTTATATACATATACAATTATGTTTTTTTCTTCCTCTTCCTCCAACCCATCCCAGCCTTCCTCTTGCTGATCCCTCTCTTTCGCCATATAAAAAGCCCTGACTGAACTTTCCTTCTATGTACTGATGTTGCAGCATATTTACCAGAGAAGACCACTTGGACACGGGTTCAAAACAATGGAAAGTCTTTATCAGCCAGTCAATAACTACACCGGGTGTTTGGGACCCAAGTGCACTTCTAAGCCTCTCTTAGGGTGGGCTTTTAAGCAAAAAAACAAAAACAAAAACAAAAACACATCCTGAGTTGACACACCCCAGTTAGCAAAAACAGTTAGCCAAAGTAGAACTACAGAAGCTAGAAAGCAAGGTCGGTATGTTTAGGGATTTCCCAGAATTAAGAACGTTGATGGATTAGGTCTCTGTTCTTCTTTTGGCAGAGTGTTACATGCTGGGTTTCAAGGCCTGAATGGTACTCCATCATTGTATCAGTAGTGCTGAGGTCTGGGGACCAGTCACTCTGACTTTCCTCTCCAAGTCCTGGATTGAGTTAATCTACTTTGCTGTATACTCTCTGAAGTCACTGATCATTTTTACTAGCACTTTTTCAAATCTTCATCCAGGATTTCCAGTTTTCTGGAACCCACCTACCTGATGTCCCCACTAATGTATTTGTGGATGTTCTTATCTATGACTGTCCTAAGACTATAAAAGTCTGCATCACCACTTCCACGGTGCAACGTGTCATTCAGGGTCACGAATTCATGTTCTTAGGAATGCTTCCTTATGTTTGGCTCAGAATAAATGCTCTCTTATTCCTACTGGAGCAAGAGCTGTGTTTATATTAATAAAAGAAATCAAGTATATTACCCAAAACATCAAGCCAAAATGTTTGTAAAAATATAGTTAAGTCAGCAAGTTTGAAACCACTTGGGCTAAATGAAACACTGCCTCAAATATAGTGTGTGTGTGTGTGTGTGTGTGTGTGTGTGTGTGTGTGTTTGTGTGTGTGTTTATTTGGAATTGGCTCTGTGACAGTTAATCAGATGGTAACCAAAACCTGCCTGGAAAGTGACTGTTAAAATTTATTGCATTTCGCCGGGCGGTGGTGGCGCACGCCTTTAATCCCAGCACTCGGGAGGCAGAGGCAGGTGGATCTCTGTGAGTTCGAGGCCAGCCTGGTCTACAAAGTGAGTTCCAGGACAGCCTCCAAAGCTACAGAGAAACCCTGTCTCGAAAAACCAAAAAAAAAATTTATTGCATTTATAAATAGAACAATGAAACAAACTTAAAGCATAATTTCAACTAGGTTTAAAGAGAACTAAGTTTTAAAACTTACAACACTAATAAAATAATAGTTAAATTCATTCAAAGTAGCCACTAATAATTTTTGCTGTTGCCCAAAGGCATCCATGCTCACTAGGCAAGTGTGTGTCTTCTAACTCCCTCATAATCTTCTCCAAGTCTCTAAGCCCCAGGTATACCTGCCCTAGGGTCTTGGAGATTAGCTCTGATATCAATGCTGTTAGTCCATCAGGAGTAAGAGCCCTGACCGCAGACTCAGTGTTCTTTGAAGACTGAAGTTTTCTTAGAGGAAGATAACCAAAAAGCATGTTGGAAAGACATTTTCACATAGATCCAGCTGGGAAGAGGCAATGACTACATGTACAAACAGCCACAGAGGGCTAAAGGGATGGCTCAGTTGTTAAGAGAGATTATTGCTTTTCCAGAGGACCAAAGATTCAGTTCCCAGCTTCCATGTCAAGTTGCTCACAACCTCCTGTAACTCCAGTTTTGGGAGATCCAATGCCCTCTTCTGACCTCTGCTGAAACCCACACACTTGTCCCATTCATTCATTCAGACACATATAAATAAAAACAGTTTTAAAATCATTTGTACTGTGGGTGTTGGTGGCACACACCTTTAATCCCAGCACTTGGGAGGCAGAAGCAGGCAGATCTCTGTGAGTTCAAGGCTAGCCTGGTCTACAGAGACAGTTCTAGGACAGCCTCCAAAACAATACAGAGAAACCCTGTCTTGAAAAACAGAAGCAACAACAACAAAAAACAAAAAAAAAATCATTTGTAAAAGATTCAAAAATAAGATGGACAATGGTGGCACATGCCTTTATCCCATCACTTTGGAGGCAGGGGCATTTCTGTGAGTTTGAAGCCTGTCTGCTCTATGGAGTTAGTTCTAGAACAGCCAAGACTACACACAGGAACCATGTCTTGAAAACCTAAAAACAGGAAAAACAGTTTGGTACTGGCACGAAAATAGACAGGTGGACCAATGGAATCGAACTGAACACCCTCATATTAACCCATGCATGTATGAACGTCTGATTTTTGACAAAGAAGCTAAAAATATACAATGAAAAAAGAAATCATCTTCAACAAATGGTGCTGGCATAACTGGATGGTGGCATGTAGAAGAATGCGCATAGATCCATGTCTATGGCCAGGCACAAAACTTAAGTCCAAATGGATCAAAGACCTCAACATAAATCCAGCCACACTGAACCTTTTAGAAGAGAAAATGGGAGGCATCCTTGAACGAACTGGTACAGGAGACCGCTTCCTGAATATAACTCCAGTAGCACAAACACTGAGATCGACAATTAATAAATGGGACCTCCCGAAACTGAGAAGCTTCTGTAAGACAAAGGGCACAGTCAGCAAGACAAAAAGGCAACCCACAGATTGGGAAAAGATATTCACTAACCCCCCATCTGACAAAGGGCTGATCTCCAAAATTTACAAAGAACTCAAGAAGCAAGTCTCCAAAACACCAAAGGATCCAATTAAAAAGTGGGGTACAGAACTAAATAGAGAATCCTCATAGAGGAGACCAAAATGGCTGGGAACACTGGAAAAGAAAGATTTAAAATATATAAAGTGGAGAAATAGTTGAGGAAGACACTGCATCGGCCTCTGGCTTCCACTTGCATGCACACATACATGCACATGTTATATATACACTCACATACACTACAATGAACTACCTACATACCTACCATGTCAAAGATTAATAGTTCTGATGGATGGCAGGAGAGATAACTGAGGTTTGGGAAGAGTGACTGCTCTTCTAGAGGACTGGGATTCAGTTCCCAGCACCCACATGGCAGCTCACAACCATCTGTAACTCCAGTTCCAGGGGCTCTGATGCCCTCTACTGCAGGATTCCGCATGCATCACGCAACCACACACACATCCACACAAAACAAAAGACAAATAAAGAATTTGTCTTTGTCAGGGTTTCTATTGCTATGAAGACACCCCCACCACGACCATGGCAACTCTTACAAAGGGAAACATTTAATTGGGGTGGCTCACTTACAGTTCAGGAGTTTACTCTATTACCATCATGGCAGGAAGAAAAACAGCACGCAGGCAGACATGGTGCTGGAGAAGGAGCTGACAGTTCTTAAATCTTGATCCCTAAGCAACAGGAAATGGTCTGAGACACTGGGTGTGGCTTGAGTATGTATGAGACCTCAAAGCCCACCCCCACAGTGACACACTTCCTCCAACAAGGCTACACCTACTCTAATAAGGTCACACCTCCAAATAATGCCACTCTCTATGAGCTAATGAGGGTAAAATACATTCAAACTACCACATATTTTTTAAAAATGAGAATATTTATAAAATAAAGAAATTCAATGCTACTAGTCTCAAAGAAGATGTAGAAAAGCTGAAACTTTAGTACCACAGCCTAGGTTAAATCTGTATGAAAAGATCACTTAAAATATGATCACATATAACAAATTTTACCATTCTGACACACTGGAATTTTTATATAGAAAACATTCTAAGTAAAGGAAATATAAACTATACTATAACACCTAAGTCAACATCAAAACATAAACACACGCCAAGTGTGTTGTGCATGCCTTTCTTTAGTCTCCGCACTGGGGTGGCAGAGTCAGAATGATCTCTGAGGTCTTCTAGAGGTCCTGAGTTTAAGTCCCAGCAACTACATAGTGGCTTACAACCATCTATGATGAGATCTAGTGCCCTTTTCTGGGGTGCAGACATACATGCAGACCCTACATAATAAATAAATAGATAAATCTTTAAAAACAGATTGGCCTGTAGGTAAGCTTGTGGGACATTTTCTTAAATTAGTGATTGATGTGGGCTCACAATCATCTATGATGAGATCTGGTGCCTTTTTCTGGGGTGCAGACACACATGCACACCCTACATAATAAATAAACAAGTAAATATTTTGAAAAGATTGGCCTGTAGTTAAGCTTGTGGGACATTTTCTCTTTCTTTTAAACTTCTTTTTTTAAAGATTTATTTTTTTATGTATACAGTGTTATGCCTACATGTATGCCTGCAGGCCGTAAAAGGGTGCTAGATCTCATTACAGATGGTTGTAAGCCACCATGTAGTTACTAGGAATCGAACTCAGGACCTCTGGAAGAGCAGCCAGTACTCTTAACCTCTGAGCCATCTTTCCAGCCCTACATTTTCTTAAATTAGTGATTGATGTGGGAAGACCCAGTCCACTGCGGGTGGTGTCATCCCTAGGTAGTTGGTGATATATGAAAGTAGGCTGAGAAAGCCATGAGGAGCAACTCAGTAAGCAATGCTCCTTCCTTCACAGCATCTGTATCAGTCCCTGTCTCCAGGTTCTTGCCTCGGTTTCCTGCCCTGGGGTTTCTGGATGGTAAATTATAAACTGTAAGAAGAAACTAATCATCTTCTTCCCAAGTTGCTCTCAAACAGCATACACTAGTATAATGTCATTTCAAACCTGCAAAACAATACTTTATATGACTTAGTAGATTAGATAAATGAACGATCCAAATTTTAAGTCATTATATTCGGATGCTAATAGCAGTGACTTCTAGGAAGGATGGAGATGGGGAGAGAAGAAAACAGAGAAACTGGGAGGAATGAAGAACAACTTGAAGTTTTGTCAGATATCTGTAATGTCATAGTCTTAAAAAAAACACTGAGGCAAACATGGGGGCATGTTAAGTGTCCCTTTAATCCAGTCATGGATTAAATTATTATTTATTATCATTATTATTAAATTATTATTTGTCTAGGCTTTATATTTAATTGTCTTCAAAGAAACTAGAAGAATAAAAGCAAAAGTAAAATACATTGCATAATATCAAAAAATATATGATATAGATATATTTCATATCAAACTACAAAAAAAGAATTCAAAAGATAGGGTTGTGTCTTTGGTGTCTGATTTTTCTTTTTGTTTGTATGTGCAAGCTATTGACAAAAATAGATTTCCACGAGTTTGATATGATCAAGGGTGCCGGGAGCTGGGCAGTAGGAATGGAATTTGGCAAAGAAGGAACAAATAGTCCCTAAGCATGAGAGAAGGTGGATGTGGCAGCCCAGTGGTATCATGTGTTCTTCTTTTGCTTTGACAGACATTCCAAAGTATGATTCAAGAAATACCTTCAACAACTGCTTGCTGCTGGCATTGTTTTTCAATGCACTTACTTCTTTTTCATCTAACTTGGAAGACACAGGGGTACTACTTGAAACATCTAACGCCAAGGATCAGATCAGTGATGAGATAAACACTGTCCCAAGTCAATGATTGGGAAGGAGAAACCTCACCAACGCCAGAAAAATCTGGGTCTTAATCCAGTCTTAACTAGCTGTGAGGGATCTATTCATATAGTTTCATTGGTGATGTGAGCTTTTCTTCTACCAATTAAATGAAGGAATAGATTCAATTACTGCCTAAGGTCATCTTGGGCATCAGCATGGTACACTACCTACCTCCTGGTGTTGTGACTTTCCTACTCTAAATAAGCCAACCAAATAAACATGTCTTACTTTCAAGTGACAAAAGAGAAAATTTTGGAATCGAAAATTATGTTTCTGCTTTTGTCTATGTTTAATCATTTATTTTGTATGAGTGTGGGTACACATGCCTTAGTAGACATGTGGAGATCAGAGGACAATTTATGGGAGCTGATTCTTTCTTTCCAACGTGTGGGTCTGGAGGGGCTAACTTAGGTCATCAGGGTTTGCAGCAGGTGCCTTAAACCACCGAGCCTTCTCCACAGGCCCAGTTTCTGCTTTGTTTGTCTGTTTTCATTAATTTTGTCAACACTGTCAAAACTAGTATCAAGAAAATAGAAGAACCATATGAAAACTTTCTGAGATGAAACCCTACATTCATAGAAATTAGGACTTGTGTTTGTTTGTTTTGAAACAAGGTGTTTGCTTCATAGCACAGGTTTTTCTTGAATTGGAAATATTTTTATCGTAGCTTTCTAACTGCTGGGAACTAAAGTATGTACAACGACAACCAGCTAGTATCACAAATATTTTACAGAACTTTAAAAATATTTTAATTCTATTAATATAAGTATAGAAGAGTCCTACCAAGAAAAGGACACTTGAATAAGTACCATGAAAGAGACCAAGGAAATGTTAGGTTAAGAAGTTGAATTGCTTATTGAAGTATATGTGGTCATTTTTTCCCACTTTCTTTGTGTACTGGTTGCTGAAAAACAAGATGTTAAAAAAATTAAGTATTGCATCTTTAAAGAAGGAAGTAACTGCATCCTCAACAGCTATAGGTCTGATCCCCTCTTCTTCCTTCTGAAAGGATAACCCTCAAGTTTTAGCTAGGCAACTGGATTCTCGGATCTCTTTTCCCAGGAACTTCTTTTCCTTTGCAGTTAAGTGTAGCTTGGCTAAGAGTTAGAAGAACACCTTCTGCGTCTCATCCTTTAAAATGGAAGAGGGTCTGCATTTACTCTCTGCCTGTTCTGCACACTGGCATGCAGATGCTGGGTGTGAGGCAGCCTTGATTTTGTGAAGTAAGAGTACCTGAGGATGACCATGACAGTGAGACCAGTCTGGGTCACCTGATGACTTGGTGGGAAAAAAACAAGCCCTTTCTCCCTGGCCTAGAGACTGACCAGAGATGTTACTCTTAGTTACAATAGTTCAACTTATACCTCAGTTAATACAATGGTTGCCAGGGGTAGAACTATTTTCTTTTTCTTTCTTTGCCTTTGGGGGGGGTTCGCTTGTTTATTTGGGGGGCTATTTTGTTTTGTTTTGGGATTTGAGTTTTTGTTTGTTTTGGTTTTGGTTTTGTTGGTGTGTTTTGATTTTTTTTTTTTTTGAGATAGGATTTCTCTGTGTAACATCTCTGGCTGTTCTGGCACTCATTCTGTAGATCAGGCTGGCCTCTAACTCACGGAGATCCATCTGCCTGTGCCTCCAGAGTGCTGGGACTAAAGGTGTGTGTCACCATGCCCAGCTGGGGGTTGAATTTTTTAACAGAGATATCCAGAAGAAAGGGGAAATTTCATGAAGGATCTATGATGATCTGGAAGCCAAGAAACAAATAGTAGCTTGAACCTGAACATGAACAAGCTATGAGAAAAACCCATATAGAAAGGCATTCTACAAACTAATGGTAACAACAGTAATGATTTTTGTGCATGTATAAGTAGACATTAAAATTTTATGAATCTATACAAATTTGGGCCATGTATATTGGTGTTCTTTGTCCTAATCTTCTATTTCTACTGACTTGAAATTAAATTAAATGTTGAGAAAACACATGACTCTAAATCTTTTCTTTTGTTTGTTTATTTTGGTTTGGTTTGGTTTTTCGAGACAGGGTTTCTCTGTGTAACAGTCCTGTCTGCACTGGAACTCACTTTGTAGACAAGGCTGACCTCAGACTCACAGAGATTCACCTTCCTCTGCCTCCTGAGTGCTGGGATTAAAAGCATGCACCACCATGACCCAGCTTTTGGTTTTGGTTTTGGTTTTTTACTCTAAATCATATATATATATATATTATTTAAATTAGAAACATGCATGCTTCAAATGTCAATCCCAGCTCCCCCCATCCTCCCTCACAGCCCCACCACTACCCCCCTCCCCCAGCCCAATCCCCACATCTTTCCCAAGGGAGGGTGAGGCCCTCCTTGGGGGGAATCTCCGGAGTCTCTCATTTCGTCCAGGGCAAGACCTAGGCCCTTCCCCATGTGTCCAGGCAGAGAGAGCATCCCTTCATGTGGAATGGGCTCCCAAAGTTCATTTGTATGCCATGATGAACACTTATCTACTACCTAAGGACCCAGAGATTTCTTAGGCCTCCTCACTGACACCACATTCATAGCATCTGGATCAGTCCCCTGTTGGCCTCTCAGCCATCAGTCTGGGGTTCAAGAGCTCCCCCTTGTCCAGTCAGCTGTCTTTGTAGGTTTCACCAGCAAGGTCTTGACCCCTTTGCTCATCATTCCTCCATCTCTGTCACTGGGTTCCAGGGGTTCAGTTCAGTGTTTAGCTGTGAGTATCTGTCTCTGCCTCCATCAGCCACTGGATGAAGGTTCTAGGACAGCATATAAGGTAGTCATCAAAGAGGGGCTATTATTAATGTAGTCTCTCTGTTATTGCTTAGTTTGCCAGTTGGTGTTATCCTTGTAGATCACTGGAAATCTCACTG